AAACCAAACAAAAAACAACAAAAAACCCCATTATTTATATACAAAATTATTGATGTAACGCCTTTAAAAAATTCTCAATTTTAAAACTTTTAAACATTCTCTATTATTTTAGTAGATCCCAACAATTTTGCACTCACCTATTGTATTGGTATGCCTGGGCATCTTCTAAAAGGAAAAATGATTCACTCTGTGTTTGTGTAGGTTTTCATATGACTAGATCAATGATGGTATAAAATCACAAAATTTACTCAAGTCATTTTTATTTTTTCATATTGTACTTTTGTTATGAAACATTACAAACAGATAAAGGTAGAGAGGTTAATATAAATGAAACTCTTATGTATAAATGACAGCTTTATCAAGCCTTCACGTTTTAAATTGATCTTTTTTAAATGAACAGTTGTGTGTGTAAATTAATGCAATGGTAAAGGTCAGCAGAAAAAAATTATAATGGCTGGATTATCTTTCAGGGGCTTTCCTTTTCCATCTATGTTTTGGGGGAAGGAAGTTTTATGATGTTAATTTAGACACCTGCTTAGCTAAATAGCACGGAACTCGTTGGAAGGAATTGCATTTTCATTCAGTCCAAATTCCTACCAGTTCTCTGAAGCTATGTTTCGGTTAACCCTCTCAAGGTACAAGTACGTCAGTCAGTGTTTCAATGTTTTAATACATATGCAAATATAAAAGTGTTGGGTATGGGTAAAAGTGTATTTTAAGCAAAAGCTTCAAGCTCAACAATCAGCTTTTAAACTCAAAAAGTAGGAGGAAATTGATGCAAAACCCCAGGTCCCAGGCCTGCCTGCCTCAACAGGTATAGACCTTTTCCAGCGGACTCTGGTTCTGGTGGATTCTCTGTCGAAAGACCAAATTCACTCAGGTCAGAGTACTGAGAGGAGCAACCAAGCAGAGACCTGTCCTTCCGGAAATGCCCGGCCCCCTCTTGCCTCCCAGGCTATGCGGCAGAGGGTGGGGTGGCCGTTTTTTTAATGGCTTTCTCTCACCAGCAACAGTGTAATGGTGTGTCTCTGGGGATCCGGTCTAGCCTTGGGGTCAGGAGGTCAGGCCTTGGAAACGCAACTAATGCCAAGGTCCTTTATTTGTCCTTCTCACTCTGATTATTAAGTCGTGAGCGCTGCTCTGGCTTGGTGGGGTGTGGAAGGTGCTGGGGCGGGGAGGGGGGGGAGGGCGGTCTGCGGGGCACAATGAGGGAGCCTTCGCTAGGGTGTGACCTCGCTCGCTGCGCGGCTGCCCCGGGGCAGGCTGCGGGCCGCCGGAGGCCTTTGGGGGTGGCGGCTGCCCTAGGGCCGGTTATCAGATCCGCAGGTTGTCCCGGGGCCGTCTTTGCCTTTCTGATCTCAACTCTCTTCCCACTCCTGTCTGCCCCTCCTGGCCCTTGCCCTTCATGAATTCGCTTGGGTTCCCACTCGCTGCCCAACGCGTTCAGTCCACCAGCCGAAAGCAAGGCGGGCAGGAGAGTGCAGGCTCCTCGGCCTCTTCTCCAAGAGGTGGGTGCGAGAGCGCGGGCGCTTGCCCCACCCCCAGGAGGCGCCCAGGGGTGGGCGCTGGGCGCGGGCCGGTCCTGGGCTCTCTGGCGCCCGGTGGCTCTGGCCCTCGGCGAGCTTGCGGCCGGGCCCAGCGGAGGATGCCCGCGGCGGGCTGCGAGGGGGCTCCCGGCCCGCGAGGGACGCGATAGCTGTGGCTGAGTTCCACTTGCCAGCGGCGGGAAGGACGCGCGGGAAAGCGAGGGAGCAGGAAGCGGGTGGCGGCGGCGGCGGCGGCGGGCCCGCTGGAAAGGAGGGAGCGCCGCAGGCGGGAGGAGGGAGCGCGGAGGAGGGAGGCTGGGAGGAAGGAGGGAGCGCGGCAGGCAGGCGGAGGGAGGGCTGATTAGCATGCAGCAGCGCTCGCGCGCCCGGCTCCATTGTTTTAACACCTCCCCTCTCCTCCGCGCCAATCTGTCACCGTTCAGCAGGCGAACGCTGCTGCCTCAAATGCTGCTCTTCTCAAATGAGACGGATAATTAGTTGCCCCGCACGAATGCCGCACTCTTCTCACCCCTGATTGCTATCACCTTCTTGCTCCTGGCAGTTTTGACACCTCGTAATCAGCCTGCTGCTTTTCTCTTTTCTTCCCGACTTCTGCTTCCCTCCCCACCCCCATTTATTTATTTATTTATTTATTTATTATTATTTTAAATGCAATCCTGGTTGCTATTTGGACCCGGCCCCCGTGGAGTTCACCTCACGCGTATACGTGTGCGCATATATGCGTATATGTAAAACAGGGTGTCTGTGCGAGTGTCGCGGGCGGCCCTGCAGCTTTGCGGGAATCACTGCTTCCACGGGGAGAGAATTCTCTTCTCCTGAAGATATTTTGGGGAAGGGAGGAGTTGGGGAGAGGGACCGGAGGGGAGACTTGGGGAGACCTCAATTAATGCTTTAAAGATCTCTCAGAAATTAACAAACTGGGGAGTCTCGGAATCTGCTGTCACAAGCGTGTTCTCCCCGCTCTCCTCTAACAAGCACTGACAGTCTAATTACTGTAGCTACAAGCAGCTGTCGAGGCAGCAGCCCGGGAGAGAAGGCGCCACAGGCGGAGCGCACCAGGCCGGCCCCTGCGCCCGGCCCAACCGCCCAAACCGGCCCGGCTCCGGGGAGGATGCCGGATGGAGAGGACAAGGCCCCGCACCCGAGAGCCCCGCGAGCAGAAGGCGGGCCTGGGAGCCAGCGGACGCGTTTATCCGTTTCATATTTATAAAGTCTTTACCTTGAAGGTTAAAAGATGTGAAAAAAAAGGAGGGGACGTGGGGGAGTGGGAAGAACATCTCCTGAGCTCCCATCCACCCCTTTTCTACCTCCTCGAGCTCTCCCTCCCTCCGTGTTGGTAAAATAACCACGCAACCCGGGCTGAGGGGGCGGGGTGAGCCAGGCTGGAGTGTAAGAAAGCAGATGTCCCCGCTGGCAGCAGCCTCAGCCTCCGGGGAAAGCTGCACCGGGGGGGCCCTCCCGAGGACATTCACCTCCCACTTCTCAGGCATCCCGCTCACAACTGCCTCGTCTCGGCGGGGGTGGTTTTTTCAGACTCAGCGTTTCGCGTGTGCAGCTTTTTTACCTGGGAGCTGTTCTTACCCGGCCACGCTTAGCAGATGCCAAGATGCGGCCCCTGCACGACTCCGTAATAAGAGACAGAGGGAGAGACCTGGCGGGTGCCCATTCCACCTTGAAAGCTGCAGTCAGCGCCACCTCTGCGGCGCGGGGCTGGAGCTTGCTCCCCAGGCTGCATTTCCTGTGGCCCAAGAGGGCCTTTGTCCCTCGGAAGTTGGAGCCCTGGAACCCAAAAGCAAAGGAGAGTTTCCCGCTCTTACTAACGGTGGTGGAGGTGGGAAAAGGGAGGACTGGGGAAGAGTCTGTGATAACACTTTAATTCGAGTCACTTTGTGGGCTATAATTTCCTTTGGCTGTCAGCAGGCTAGTAGATGTCAACTGTGTGAGAGGGGCTCTTTCTCTTCTAGAAAAGGAGAAGGAAAAAGAAACCCCGTTTACGAGATAGGTACAGTGGTATATTCTGGCTGGTACAGGCTGAGAAGTTTTTATTTTTAATTGTGTGTGTGCGTGTGTGTGTGTGTGTGTGTGAGAGAGAGAGAGAGAGGGAGAGAGAGAGAGAGAGAGAGAGAGAAGTGAGTGAGAGGGGAGGCTGGGTGGGTGGGAGGTAGGGAGGAGACATGGGTAATTGTCTAGGTATTTCCATTCAGCCCCAGTGGCAGTGGAGGAAAGATGTACACGTCTCAGAAACCTTCACAGTGAATACCTAATAATCGCTATGTCACCTTGGTGAGGAAGATGTCAACCTGACGTGCTTGGCACCCTGAGCAGTCGAGGCACCATTCTCATGCTTCCACCAGTTAAGGCTCCTCACTGCAGCACAGAGGCCTCTCAAATTCCCCCATCCTAAAACCTTCCAATTTTTAAAAACACTTCCTCCAAAGAAGGCTTAAATTTCTGTTTTGAGAGTTGCAAATCAGTGTTCACTTTATAAAACGGAAGCCATGCCTCATTTTAAAAATTGGAGGGCAAAGGGAAACCTAAAAAACAAGCATCATAGGGAAGAAAAATGAAAGGGAAGTCTCATTTTAAACAAAATTTTGCAGCATTCTTATTTGGTAGCCTTTCTTGCAAATGTCTTCCAGTGGCCATCAGTCAGGCTGTTGACAATGAATAACAAATTTCTCAACAACAATGTAAACATTTCTAATACAAATCAATAAATGTGGATAGTTCCTACAGGGTTTTAGGTTTGCTCCCAATAAATACAAATACGTTTCTTTAGCAAGTTTACTTTGAAAATAATTTTTAAATTCAAAGTGATCGACTACTTGTAATTAAATGTCACCAGATCTGATATCACCCTTCTATCATTAGAAAACATGAATGTTTTAAACTTCCCCCAAATGTGATTTATTCCTTTTTTTTTTTAACTCAGGAACAGAGAACATATTTAATGATCATGACATAAGTAACTTTTTAAATATTTAACTCATTTCATCATGTAGCTATACACATAGTAAAATTTAAAACCATGTATATTATTAAAAGAAAAAACAATCTGAAGTGTTTGAATAATCCTACCAGTGATTTTATCACTGGGTAACAAATCTTAGGTTTTGGTATTTACTTAGACATTTATGTTGTCTGCTGTTCTGTATTACAGGTTTATTAAAAAAAAAATCACCGATAGCATAAATAATCTAGTTTTTAAGTGAAACACCCTATAAACATTTGACATCACCAAATTTAATAAATTTAACTAGAAATCCAAGCAATAAGCTTAGACATTTGAAACAAACATAAATTAAGGTAATAAACACTGTAAACATGAATGCAATGAATTACAGTTTTATACAGAATGATCCATAAAAGTTAATAAAAGAAAGTTACAATATAAGTTTAGGAAAAAATTCAAATAGCTGTGACATAGCTATTTTTCAATGAACGATCTTGAACTAAGTTTTCAATCAAGTATTTATAGTATTACAAACCCAAGATCATCACATAGAACCTGATGATCACATAGAATCATTACACGGAGCTGTTTTCAAATGCATCTTAAGTCTCCCCATTAAAGTGTGAATTAAGATGCCGGAGGAAATCCCCCCTGGATGTAATGGATGGTGGGAAAACTGCTTGACAGAATTCACATACTCGAGGTATATGCAGTTCTGAGCCTGTGCCACTTAGTACCGATGATATATCACTGTCTTGATTAGGAAAGGGCTTCCAAACGGGCTATGGGAAACAAACAAAAATATCTTCTGTTATTTGTAGGTAAAATCAACTTAGAATAAATTTCAAATTCAAATTTTTTGAGTGGGTTTTGTGCATAAGTACAAAATTCCTTTCTATGAAAGCAAATTACCTTTCTACAGAGTTAGCATGAAGACCTAACTCAATTTTCCTTTCATTAAGGGCCCAGCTAAACTTTGATTAAGTCACTTAAAATACATACATGTACTTTATCTTCACATATTTAAAATTTTTCCAGTTTTACCACCAGCAAATTTTAATACTCGTTATCATAACAGCAGTAGTTTTGGCACAACAGTCAATCATTAAGACTTTTTAAAAATCGAATTCTATCTTTTCTGTCTTACAACAGAAACCTTAAGTTATAGGGCTCTGATTAATACAAAGTGCACTAGACATGATGTGTGTACACATGCAGTTTGATCAAGAGCAATTTAAATTTCACTATTTATAAGGAAATATACAATGAATAAAACACATAGGAATAAGTTGTTTTGGTTTTCGAAACGAAATTTTTTAAGTACTAAACAAATTCCACTGATCAGTTGTTTCTTTGAAATCTCAAATAGTTAATCATTCAACAAAATCTAACATGGGATGCATTCTTTTGGCTTATTTTGCTCCTGCTATATAGCGCGTAGTTTTGCCTTCTTTCGCCTTTCTTGTGACTGAATAGTGTCAACAGTTGCCCAATTAAATAATTATGGAAAATCACAATTCAACAGAACTACCTCCATTATAAGCAGCACATAAATACGTGAAAATACTGCATTTATTCTTTCTAAAAAAATATCTAACAGGGCAGAAAAAGCATTTAGTTCAATAGTAGGTGCTCAATAAATATTTTTTGATTGGAATATCTTATTTTCCTGAACTGCATACCAAACTATTTTTAAAATTTGCTTTCTGGTATACCTTGACATAGGTAAATTACTTTGACACAGTTAATTTCTGATACTTTGAGGAAAATCACTTAAAAAGTCAATTTAAAGAGACCTTTTTGGGCTCTTATTACTAATATGTTTTTATTAGTCCAACACCTGATAACAGTGTTAAGTTTTCATTCCCTTAACCAATCTCTTTCATTCTAGTTAACCAATCATTTACAATAAACAGTGCATTACTAATTGAAGCATTTAAGTTTCACGACATCACTGTCTTACAAACATTTTACTGGACAGCTGCGTACAGTTGGTGTAAATATACAAAGTCTGTCTAGACCGAGATACGTTCAAATATCAGAACAGAGGGTTTATGATAACATTGACTCAATTGCTTTTTAGAGAAGTGACAATTTTATCACAAAAAAATAGTAATATTTAACATGTGTATTTTAAAATCTGGGGTAAGATAATTTTCTTCAGAAAAGGTATGATTAAAAAGCAGTGGTAATAAATGTGAGTATATAAGCCAAAATAAGTTAGAGTCAGCCAGATCTAAATTTTACTGTTTGCAGTTTAAACAAAAAGTACAAGCGATTAATATGCATCTCTTTAATGGGAAACTGATATGGATATAAATAAAAGATTATTTATAAATAAAGATGATTCTTATTAAGATCTATAAAACAGTAAGAAATAGATTTAGAAGCAATTTAGCTTCTAAATTTGGTGAGCCAATCTTCCACTGCCAGTTTATCTTCAAAGTCCATCCTTATCCTTCTCTATTAGGAGTTATTAGTTCAGATTGGATCTTTTCAGAGAATTCAGTTGGGACCCCACTCACTGACTCAGCAAAACTATGAAGAAAATAAAATCACACAGAGCAAAAATAAGCAGATATATTTTAATTTTAGGCTTTGTTATAATAGCTGAATGTTTAAAAAGGTGTTAAGTAGTGGTAATCGATATAGCATAAAAATTGGAAACATGAAACCCCAAATTTTCACTTCTCTTTGTCATTACCAAGAATTCAAGAATTTTGTATTTATCATACTAGCTTTATTAATACAAATCAAACAGCAAAATGTTTTTAAAAATTAAGAAATATTCTTTCAATCCTAAACTGCAACATGGCCTTCAAACAAACTAATTTCTTTGCCTTTTCTGCCAAAATATCAATTATCTAACCTTATGCCCCATGTCTTGTGACAGCTCAACACCAATTCTCCTGCATTTTTTAAGCTGAATACTTTTCCATCAAGTTGTAATCACATACCAGCTGTTTCCCTTGCTGTAGCATAGAAAGCAAATGCACAATGCAGGGTGCCATCTACTGAAACATGAATGCACACAGACTAACTAGTAAAAGAACAAGCAGGAGATATAATGGAGAAAAAAGTAACAAGCATTAGAACTGATGCACTTCACAGCTCCACAGGAATTCTACTTGTAATAAATGAAATTGTTTAATTTGTTTCATTTAGTAGTAACTATAACTGAGACTATGATGTGAAATAAGGCACAATGTAGAACATAAGTGAGTTTATAATTAAAGCTGATTGTCAGAGATGCCTAGTTTTTCCCCACTACTAAAATATGCCACAGCTTGACTACTGCCTCCTTTGTATGCTGATGTAAGTCTGTAACCTATACAGCACTTATAAAGCCAAAAGGTATCCATCAAGGTGTTGGATTTTTTTAAAATAAGTATCTCAAGGCAAAAAGAAATTAAACAAATGTTTGCAAATTATATAGATATTTACACCAGTCAGTATTTTCACAGGCTTTTGCTTATTGTAACAATGATATATTTTTCATTTGCCTTCAGGCATTATTATTATTATTTTTTTTTAAATAAAAGCACCATTCTCTGATAGAACCTGAATAAATGGGAGGGTAGTAGTGGACTGGGGGGCTGCAAGCTTTAAAAACATCGAAGTGTTTGATTAAAATCATACATATGCAGAGGCCATTTAAAAAATGTATTAGGCTGCATATTCATTGCCAGATTAGAAACCAAACCCTACAGATCTGCGTACTGTATAACTGAGAATGTAACAGAGTATTAGACGAAAGACAGTTCACTTATTTTCATATATAAAAATATGCAATGCAATTATTTACTTATGAAAAGCATTCTTTTAAAGATGAGTATGATATACACAAACTTTTTAATTTAAAAAATGCCATTTGTTTCCCAGTATGAAATTTAACAAAGAATCCTATTGTAACACTGGTGCTGAGTAAAAAGCTTTGAATAAGGGACTAAGAAAGTGACACATACTAGCTATGGATTAGGCTGACATGTATTTTTTAAAAATGTTCCCTAAATTTTAAGGTACTTTATAATAGAGCTGTACTATAGAAGACGAGTATCTTCTATAATTTCATGTCATTTATTATAGGACTTGGATTTTTTTTTTTAAGTCTTAACTTTAACCAGTCATTAGTTCAAAAGGAATATCTGATAACCTAAAAAAGATGCATGTCTGTGCATGTATGGTAAAATATGTGTTCATGCATAATATATTTTTAATGCAAAACAGTTACCTGCTGTGGTCCTCGGATAGCTTTTCCCGGGGAATCAAGTGAAGGAAAAGGTGCATCGGGTGGGTCCTGAAGTGGTAATGTATTTACATACAATGTGTTATGGTTTCCAGGTGGCAAACACGTAGCTCTATCCAGAGTTGTCCTGATACAAGTGTTTACAAGATTGGAGGGTTTTGTTTTGTCAGTTGTTTTAAGGTTTTGTATAGCTGATGCTATGGGGTCAATTCCCTGAATTTCAAATAAAGTTTCTTCTGTTTTAACAAAGTTTCCCGGGTTGTCTCTGAACTCCATATTAAATTTATCCTGGCACACTGCCTCAGATGTGGCAGGACCAAGGATGTTGGGTCTTTCTGGAGTGCTATGTAAGAAAGTAGAGTCATTGTCCATAGGTGGAAACTTGACATTGAATTTAGAAAGTGATTCGAAAGAGGTATCTTCCTCATCTCGGGCCAGTCCTCTCGGTGTGACAGATGTGATGCATGGTGCACCTCTATTTATATCATCTTTAGCCTGAGGCTTAAACAGCTCTTCTTGTTTATCTGTTGTATCCGTACACTGTACAGGAAGAGAGCACTGTGTTTCTGCAGGGAAAAGAACACAAAAGGAAAATGGTTGCATTCCAATCATTCTTAAAAATGATGAATATTATTTTTACAATTCCTTTTTATAGCAACTGAAGACAACTGGTACTTTTTACCTTTGCTACCACCTTCCACAGACTATTAGCAGTCTCCAGTGGGTGAACTGGAACGTAGCTTATTAGTTGCAGTGAAACTACTTTGTCTTTTCCTAGGTCTTTTGCTGTAAGCTTTGCATCTTGTTCACAGTTATACTGCTCTATGCTTAAAAAACATTTGCTTGTAGTGTATACACTTAAACATTTTGTCAGTAATGGAAGCTACAACTGTGAGCTTGCTTAGACAAATAAGTTGTTAAAAAGAAAATTTCTTACTAGGCATATATAACACTATACAGGTTAAGAATCGACATGAATTCGGCCATTTATTAGCCCTAATATCACTGTGTCACAAAATACATCAGCAATCAGTCTAGCCCTTGGGTATTCTCAAGAATTCATGTGAGGGAGTGGTAGTGGTGGGGGTTGGAGAGAAAGAAGACAGTAAAGGCAAAAGAAGGATGAAATTTTGGGATGCATGTTCAGAAAACTGTATATGAATATATAATTCTCCTGTTACACACACACACACACACACACACACACACACACACACACACACACATATATAAAAGGCCTATGAAGATAGCAGGTGGATATCAGGTAGATACCATGGCTCCTGCAGCTCATTTATCTGGAAGCTGCTCATCCAACAAATTCAGCTCCAGAACAAATTCAGCTCTCTAGGACACAGGCAAAAGCTAGAAAGTAAGTAAACAGAGCTTCTGAGGAGTCAGAATTAGAGCCAAAAGGCCCACAGATATATGTATTTTGCTCTTACTCTCATTTTAGATTTATTCTAACAAGCTTGATGATATTTCCCTTAGCTCAGAGCTGGTTAGAAGCAGCAAATTAAAAGGTAGGGATAGGAGTTGCTGAAGACAGATATAGATATCAACAAGAGCTGAAAGCATGAGAGGAGACGAGAAAAACAAAATAGCAGATATAAGAACTCACAAAACACTACAGTCTGGTGTAGGGCCAATAAGGGCTACATTTCTCAATGCAAAAACACAATGATCAAAGCATTCTCTATGCTGATAATCCTGAGACATTAGAAAACACTAAATTATGCTCCACAATCTTACCTAAGAAGACAGTAGGTTGGAGATTGGTAATGTGTGATTTTCATTAAGCGGACAGAAGGTAGAGATTAAAAAAGAAATCAGCACTTTAAAAAGGTAGTCATCAGAGAAGTTTTATCTTCACAAAAGGAGACTTGCCCAAGGATGCCGATTTAAGCAGACGGGGTACACAGAACACCTTGTGTAGTGTCTGTCAAAGTTAGTAAGCACTTAACAAACGTCAGTTCCTTTCCTTCTGGTCCTTGTAGTCTCATGACACCTTCCTATCTTTTGCCACAGCACATTCCAACACAAGGTATTTTCTGTTTGGACACAACTGCAGTATATTGCAACCAAATCCTCAAGTTTACCTTCTTACATATCTACTGCCTCTCTTTAGTACACACCACCTTATCTTGTTGGATTACTACAATAGCCTTTGAACCGCTGCTCTGCCCTTTAAACTTAGCTCATAGCCAATCCATTCTCTACATTGCTCCTTATTTCTTTTCTAAAGCACAAATCTGATCATGTTACCTTCCTCATAGAACCTTTTCATGGCTCTCCAAAGCCTCATCCCTCAGAAAAGTCATATAAAACTGTTCATGACTGGTCCCTGGTTACCTGTCCATACTCTCATCTTTCCCAACTGTTGCACTTCTTATTCCAGCTATAATGGACTTTGCACAGTTCTCCAAAACAGCCAGGCTCTCCTGTCTTTGGGCCTTTGCACAAGCTGTGCAGGCTGCCTGAATGTCCTCTCCAAGTACTCTTTACCAAAGTCTTACTTGTCCTTCATTCCTTAATGTAGACTTAATTTCTCTGGATAGTTCTCTCTAGCTCCCCAAGACCGGGTTAGGCATGACTCACAGGTGTCCCGAGGCTTACACATGTTGTACTGTATTTGTTCTTTCTCCCACTGAAGTACATTTTTTAAGGTCTTAAACCATGCTTTGTTTCCCACTTAACCCCAGTACCCCGCCCAGTGCCTGACACATAGTATGCCCTCAATAAATGTATTCTGAATGCATTTGTATTCTGTTCCCAAGACAGCCCAGTGTAATAATCTACATTCACTAGATAATCTGTCTGTGACTAGAAGTAGTACAGTAACAAAGACCGAGCTCAATTGTCTGGTAGGATTTCTTTGTCCTTGTAGGTTTCTCAAAGTCCTTTAACTCTCAAGTAGTCGTTTTTCCTGATAGTAGACTTAACAGTAGCAGGAATTCTAGGCAACGGTACTTTCTTTGCAGATTACATTTGCTAACTGCAGGTAACAAATCAGGAAAGTCAACTGCTGAGGTAACTACATTTTGTAACACCTGAGGAGGAAATGCTTATCAAAATGATCTTCACAAGGAGAACAGGGAGAACAATGAAGAATCTGCTGCTGCTGCTGCTAATGACAACTATTAACATCAATAGCACTTCTATGTGTCATGCACTACTATAATCATTTTATGTGTCTTAATTCATTTCATACTCAAAATAATCATGTGGTAGGCATTAGATTATCCCCACTTTACATGCGAAGAAACTGAGACATGGAGCAGTTACTTCCAAGGCTACACAGCTAATGAATGAGTGGTACATCTGGCATTGGAACCCAGGCAACCTAATCTAGATCCTGTGCTCTGAACCATTATGTTAAATCAAACATACTGTATGCTGTACATATACACACATACACGTAGAAGACACAGAAGACAAACATACTGTATGTGTGTGTATATGTATGTACACACATGTACACACACACGCGCGCGCACACACACACACACACACACACACACACAGAGTCCCCGAAATGATTTTCTTTTCCAATAGATGACCTATCTCCCTTGTGAACAAAACCTGGGAAACTCAAAACACCTATAATAAAGCAGATATTTTCTTTTTTATAGCTAGCAGGCATACCTCAGCCACATTAAAATAATTTTTGGAATTAATCTGTTCAAGCGATGAGTTAGTATAAAAAAAAAGATTTGGGGTGCCTGGGTGACTCAATCAATTGAGCGTCCAACTTCAGCCCAGGTCATGATCCTGTGCTTCGTGGGTTTGAGCCCTGCATCAGGCTCTGTGCGGACAGCTCAGAGCCTGGAGCCTGCTTCAGATTCTGTGTCTCCCTGTCTCTCTGCCCCTCCCCCAACCCTGTCTGTCTCCCACAAATAAACAAACATTAAAAAAAAAAATTTAAATGAGGTGCATAAAACCACTTGTGATCCTGACACTATACTGAGAAACATGATCAGGTGGAGCAAATTGCCTTTCTATTTTGTTTATTTTCAGAACACTTCTTTTCGCAAGGACACAAAAAACACAATGAGAAACATTTTTAGGTTTCTAAATTTTAAGTACAGGCTGTCCATTTAGATTACTTCTTAGTCTAATTACCTCGTATATTGACAAAAGAAAAAGATCTGATGGTTGTTTGTAAGTTGCGATCCTATATTCTACTCTCTTCATCTTCCCTGAAATAGGACTCTCCTTTATGGACCAAATAGCACTTTTTATGAAGCCACATTTGCTTAAACATACATTTTATCTTTATCCCTTCTCAAGGCTACTGCCATAAGTGGATGAGAAGAAAAAAGAAAAAGGAAATGTACAATTCTACTAACTCAGCAATTTTTCATGAATTATATGTTTATCTAAAGGTAAAAGTCAAATTTTAACAAAAAAAATAACATGGGGACAATACTGCTAAATACGTTCTTTCCAGATGTATTATGCAAACCACATTTAAAATATTTTCCTTATATTTTTATTCAATGTAATGTTCATCCTTAAAAGGCCTGAATAGGCATCTTTTCCCAAAACATTTTTCTTTCTTTCCCTTTTTGATCTACTACTACCAGAATAATATTTAATATTTTGAGTTTTGTCTAGACCCAGCAAAACTTCACTGCAGTCTATGGCACAACAGATCTAAAACATTTCAAGAATATGCTGTACTTATTATTTGTGACACATTTACTATAAAACATAAGAATAACATTAGGAAGCGGTTTTAGTGGGGAAGAAAATGAAGCTAAACACTCAGTGTCCTAGTTGACAGATACATACTCAGATTTAGACCTGCACAATTTAAAAACGGTCAAAGTATTAAGCCACTGATAATGGGGTAGGTTCTCTGTATAACGATGAATATATCACCATTACAATGTTTTGATAAGATGCTGATGTTAAAAAAAATCATGTTTATGAGTTCTATGTACTACATCTTTTTAGCTAGTAGATTTTAAATAAAAATAATTCTTTTACTCCAGAGGTACTTAGTGTCTTTAGCCTACACAAAAGATCAATTTCTCATGAAAAAGACAAAAATTCAGGTGAAAGAATCAGCATTCTTTCTGGGTAGCTGGAGGGGGAAAAGGTGAAGAAATAAATTATGTCTGTCTACAAAGACTGTTTTGTTTCCCCACCATATTGTGTACCTTTTCTGAAGATAAAACAGGAGTAGTATGCAAAAAGTGAATTTACACTATAAAATGATTTTTAAATAGTCTAGATATAAGAGATGGAAGAGATGGAAAGTGATCTTTAATTAAAGGGGCATTAGCACTGCCGCAACATCTTTCAGAGTGAAAACTGTAAATCACATCTCTAGGGAACCATATGCAGAATATCTCAAATCACAAGGGTAAAGGAGAATTTATCATTTTAAATGATCAGTTTACCTTCCTTTTGTTATGGAAGTGCTTGGTAGCCAGATTCAATCTCTGGTGTTTTGCTATTCATATGGCACGGCTGAAGCAAACCCTGGTCTGGGGTTTTAGGAAAGGGTATAGGCTTTAAAAAACACACGGCAACACATGTGTAAAAACAGATGTTCCTTTTAAGTTATATTTTATACTAAATTTGTACTTTGTATCTCCAACAGGCTAGCCTCATGAAATGTGAAATGTTTATTTCTTGAACCAAATTATAAAAATCCATAGTGTCCAACGAACTTTCAAGCAGAAGTTAAAAACAAACCTGATGTTCTAATTTTACTTAGCTTATATATATATGGTAGTGCAGCTTCAAGGCTGCTTACTAATACATGAGTTAATGTTTAATTAACCCCCCCAAATAGCAACTGAAAACTTTGAGACATATTTCCCATATTTATTTTGTACCCTTTGCAAGGTGGGACTTCTCATTAAGATGATTAGTAATTACATCACTCAAGTCACTCTACATAGCCCCACACACAATAAAGAGAGAAAAAAGCCAATCATTAGATAATGTAATACAGTACAGAACTTTAACAGCACTTACCTATTATAAGTGGTAGGAGGCGCAAATTGCAGATCCTTAGCACTTAACAAGCATTTAGAAATATTTTTACGATCAAAAAGAAATACATTTAAATCAATCAAGTTAATAGTACTGTGTGTTAAATCAAACCTTACCAGTTGCAGTGGCTGGTACATTAAGTTTGCTTAAGTGGTCTTTTTGTGCTTTTGCTAGCATGCATATTCTGTGAAATTCTTCTTTTAGATCCTGGAAAGTCTTCTCTATATAAGCCCTAGAAATGAATATTTTAAAATATGAAGCTTTATGTTTAAATATTTTCTATTGTCATTAAATTTACATAGCACCATTTTATGTACCACAAAATAATTACTGAAAGGTTAAAGTTAAAAAATTATTTTAAAATCCTAGAAAATGTCCCAGAGAACTACTCTAATGTTTGGAGAGCCAGGCACAAAGGCACAAAGTAAGCAGTAAGTTAAAAGTTCTAATACATAGATGTAGCACAGACTAGCATATCTACTTATTTATAAATCACACTTTTGCTGGCTGTCTCATTCTCACATTAGAAATTTTAATACATGGATTTTTGTTCTCAGTAAACATCTTAAATAGAAGAAAATGAAATGTTCCTCATTTCGATAATGTTTACGTTAAGATCTGTCCATATAACATAATATGGCCATAACACTTGGTCTATTGAAATATTAATACCTTTCATGGAATAAAGGAATGCCAAGACTCCTTGGTGAAGTTTCTTTTCTAGGAGAAGAAACCTCTTGTCTTCTTACCTTAAAGATACAAAATAATCACCAATTTAAATTGCTTCTAAACTCAAATGAGAATAGGTTAACAGAAAATACAATGGAAAATTCACCTCCGTCATTGAAACATATATGTAGGTAGCTTACAGATACATATCTTTCTTTTCTTTAAATAAGAATCATCAGGGAAAAAGGAAAACTGAGGCAGAAAAATAGGATGGAGACAAGAAGTATTTCAGGCAACTTCTGTAATTACTATTTCCAGTACTGACAATTTAAGAAGCACCTGATATGACCAGAAACCAGGAAAAAAAAATCTGTGTATGTGTGTGTATTTACTTCTTTTCCATTATTGGTCTATAGGTTTAAATTAATGTCTTTGTATTTTGTTATAGATTCTTTGCTGAGGAATGCAGCTATCTAGAGAGGAAGAAAGAAAACCAGGCTACAGCACCTTAGCATTTAACAAGCATTTTACAGATAGTGCAATGATGTATTTAAGCTACTTTCTGAAGCTAAGTTCTTGCCTTTCACTCCCACCCTGTGGCTTATTCTGGTATTACATCCATTCTGACATTTAAAAGTCAACATTAAAAAACATGTAATACATCCACTGTATGGTTTAGATTTTTAAAAAATCTTTAATCATACTTAGAAAACTCTGTGTATGTTCTCAAGTCACAAAGTGACAAATACAAAGATTTGAAGAAGTCTTAATATTATACAATCATAAATTATAATTCTACCAAACCTGCATAGGTCTTGTTTAAGTTCAAATGAAACCAGTGGTCATTTATATTTAGTGACTTTTTAAGATTTAAGGTCATTGTAGCCATTATTAAAGTGGATGATTTTACTTCATTGTTTCTTGTCATCTGAGTATAACTCTTTTAATCTTGCTTTTCGAAAAGTTCCTTCAGTTTCTTAGGAGTCTCATTTGTTCTTTAAGAAAAAGACTTGATTCCAGTTTGTTTTTTTAAATTAGTATCTTCTCCAATTTATTTCAGTTTATTGCTCTACTTCTCCAGCTTTTTCTAAATACCAGTGTTGGCTTAACATTTCTAAAATAGAGTATTCCTTTAATTAGTAAAATGAAATCTCAGCAACCCAAACAATTTGTGATTTTATATATTATGTTGTCAGACTGAGGTAACAAAAAGATCATTTGCTGCTGCATACTTTTTGTCTGGCAAACACTTAGGCCAGGTCTTCTTCTGGATGAAAAGTGTTTTACTGAGCTTACAAAGCAGTCACATCAGAAGACATTTTCACATTCACAGTTTGTTTTTAAAAGCAGTAGACAAGGTTTTTCTTTAGTGTTATGTGCAATTAAAAAACACTCAGTGGATTTTAGTGTGTACTAGGAAGAGAGGCGACATTTTAAAGATAGCCAATCATTCAGGATGCTATAAGTAGGAAAGCAAACTTTGAAAAGATACTATATTAAGGGGTGCCTGGCTGGCTCAGTCAGTAGAGCATGTAGACTCTTGATCGTGGGGATCATGAGTTCAAGCCCCATGTTGGGTGTAGAGTTTACTTAAAAAAATAAAATAAAATAAAGATATTATATTAAATCTGTATCAACAAAATCAGAGAAGAGGTAATATTAAGAGAATAGAAACACTTGGCAATTTAATGTTAAACAAATCATAACATGTGATTAAATAAAATGACTAATCTTCTTTTAAAATTTACTACTAGAAATCCTGAATATGAAACAAAATTATTTTATCACAAGCCAGAAAGAACCAAAAAGAAGCACAGTTGACCCTTGAACTATGGGGTTAGAAGTGCCAACCCCCATGTATAAAACCCATGTATAACTTCTGACTCCCCCAAAACTTAATTACTAATAGCCTACTATTGACCAGAAGCCTTACAATAACATAAATAGTTAACACATATTTTGTATATTATATATATTACATACTGTATTCTTACAATAAAGTTGGCTAGAGATAAGAAAATGTTATTACAAGAATCACGAAGAAGAGAAAATTACATTTACAGTAGTGTAGTGTGTTTATGGGGAAAAATCCACATATAAGTGGACCCAATCAGTTCAAACTTGTGTTGTTCAAGGATTAACTGTACTCTAATTTTAAACCTAAAAATGAAGATATTTACATAAAGTAGCGAAGACTATTCCAGTTCCAAAGTACTGATTTTGGAATCAGTACTTGGAATGATTGCTTCTTATGTTAAAAAGAAACCTTAAAAATTGAGGGGGTGGGGGTGGCGATGAGAAGAAGGTGAAGGAAAAGACAGGAAAAGAATGATAAACTTGTGTATGGTTTGGTAAATAACCTGTGACAACCTACTTGTTTGTCGTTTAGATTTGATAACTGGTGTGGGTGAATTAATTTATCCAGAAAAGACTCCTCAGGTGTATTGGTAGGGGGTAAAGGGAGGACTCTCTTATTAAGAAATTTCCACAAAGTATGTAAATTTAAGGTCTTCAGCTTCTTTGGGATTAGGAATACAGCCCTGCTTACTGTTATCTTTGTTACTATTATTGAAGAAAAATACTACGATTGTACTACACAATACACTGCATCTTCTATCATTCACACCAAATACATCTCTTGATATAGTTCAAATGAAAATTTTAGGTTTCCAGCATCCTAAGAAAAAATTTTTAAAGGGGCCTTTTAACATGTTAGCTCTGCAAACAAACAACAAAATTGGCAAACAGTTCTCCGACACTGTGAAGCAGGGTTTTATCTAGAATGGGTGTAGCATGTCAATGCTATTTTCCATTGTAGCTATCTGACACAACTTTCTGAAAACAATCATTTATACCTCAAAGGATGTAGAATTAGTGTAGTCAATGGCAGCTCCAACATTTCTCCCAGAAACTCAAGACTTGCTTTTCAATGCCAAGTTAATTTACTTAATAAAGACTATGCAGTTTGTTGAACATCCCAGAGAGTAAATAAACATTAAAGGAGGTAACTTGTAGTTTTCGTTCTATTCTCAAATATTATCCAGGCGGACCCTGCACTGCAGGAAGCTGAAGTTACTGCGACTTCAAATAAGAAAGCAAGGGAACTTTGAACATTATATTTTAGGAGATTTTAAACGTTAAATCATTCAACAAATGAGTTTATTTTGAGGTACTAAAACTTAAAATACTTAACATTATAAACTGTTCCAAGTACTAGTTTGGAAATGCCGAAGTTGTGGAATGAATACTGAAATAAGAGCTTTACACGTCGTACTTTTCATTTACACTTCCACTATGGCGCTGGAGAAGTCATTCAACTAAATCATTACGATAAACCCATTTGAAACAGTTGAAAGATGTTGTGAAATGATTCCTTAAATTGCCTCTTATGTGAATTGGGAGAATTTTGTTTTAGTGTAAATCAATTTAAGTTTCTCATAGATGGGTATCATATTAAAAATATATGCTCCAGGGCCAGCTGAATATGCAATGATACTTAAGAAGGAAAAAGAAAAAGTGGCTAATATTTTTGTTAGTCGAAAACCAGGTTTATTCTTAATGCACAGATAATGGAAAACATTTTTGTGTTGGTCTGGGATCTGGCAGATATCAGCATCTTAAAGAAAGAAATGTACGCTTTCCCTAATTCTTGCCTTTATAAAATATTTAGCACAAAAGTGAAAGTATTTTATTCCTTTTATAAACTGATTTGAAAAATAAAGAAATGACTCACAATAACCAAAATATGGATTTAACTTAAGTGTCTGTAAATGGATGAATGCTAAAGAAAATGTAGTGTGTGTGTGTGTGTGTGTGTGTGTGTGTATACATACATATATATATATAGTACAGTTGAGTCTTGAACCATATCAGTTTGAACTGTGCAGGCCCACTTCTATGCAGATTTTTTCAACAAATACAGGGCAGTACTGTAAATGTATTTTCCTTACGATTTTCTTAATATTTTCTTTTGTCTAGCTTATTATAAGAATACAATATATAATACATATGCAAAATATGTGTTAGTCAACTGATAACAGTAAGGCTTCTGGTCAATAGTAGGCTATTAGTAGCTATGATTTGGGGAAGCCAAAAGTTAGATGTGGATTTTCAACTATGTGGGGAGTCAGTGTCCCTAACTATATATCTATATATATCTATATCTATATCCACACACATACATAATAAATAGATCAACCTTAAAAAAGGAAGGAAATCAGGTCATTTGAGAAAACATGGATGAATCTGGAGGACATCACGCTGCATGACATAAGGCAGGCACAGAAAGACAAATTTGCATGATCTCACTTATATATGGAATCTAAAGAAGCCAAAATCATGGAAGTGGGGAGTAGAATGGTGGTTGCCAGGGTTTCGGGGTGGGGGAAATGGGGGGGATGTTGGTCAAAGAGTAGAAAGTTTCAGTTATGCAGGATAAGTTCTGAAGATCTAATATATAGCATGATGATTATAGTTAATACTATTACATTGTACACTTGAAACTTGCTAATAAAATAAATCTTATATGTATTCATCACAATGGAAAAAAAGATAACCACGTAAAATGATGGATATGTTGGCTTGACTATGGTAATCATTTCATAATGTATATATGTATCAAAGCACCATATATACTAAAAACATATACAATGAAAATTTTTTAAATGTTTACTTATTTTTGAGAGAGAGAGAGAGAGAGAGATAGAGTGTGAGCGAGGGAGGGGCAGAGAGAGAGGTAGACACAGAATCTGAACCAGGCTCTAGGCTCCAAGCTGTCAGCACAGAGTCCGATGTGGGCTCGGACCCATGAACCGTGAGATCATGACCTGAACTGAAATTGCATGCTTAACTGACTGAGCCACCCAGGCGCCCCTATGCAACTTTTATTTGTCAATTATACCTCTATAAAGCTGGGGGGAAAATGCAATAAAATTTAGACTCAAAATCATTTTTTTTCTTAAAAATTTTAAGCAACTGAAGTCAGCAGAATTAAATTGTTATGCAACTTTTAAAGATAATACTAAATTCATTAATACAATGTATACTTTCTCATACGAAATTTAAACTTTAAAAGGCTAAT